AAGAAAAGAAGACACCTCCTATCCTCTATACTCACACACACAGGTGTGTTCTCACACAAATATATATATACACACAGAGAGAGAGAGAGAGAGAGAGAGAGAGAGAGAGAGAGAGAGAGAGCTCACAGCTCATCTAAATCATCTCTAGCAGGTATGTATAGGACATCTTGGGGCAGAATTCCTCTCTACCTAGAAAACAAGTTAATCTGCTTCCAGAACACAATGGTATAAGATAATCATTATTTTTAAAAAACGTGAATGGCACATGCTTTTAATCCCAGTACTCAGGAGGCAAAGGCAGGTGGATCTCTGTGAGGTTGAGGCCAGTCTAGTTGACATAATGAGAGTCGTGCCAGCTGGGGCTACAGGGAGACCCCGTCTCAAACATACACGCATGTATTATTTATTTATTTATTTATTTATTTATTTATGTGTGTGTGTGAATGCAGACATATGCATGCTATGACATACATGTAGAGATCAGAGGACAGATTTCAGGAATCAGTTCTCACCTTCACCTAGCAGAAGCAGGGTCTCTCCTGTTTTTCTGTTGCTGTACTGTATACTCCAGGCTAGCTGGCCTGTGAGATTCTTATCTCTGTCTCCTATCTCAGGGCAGATTGGTGCTACTACATCCAGCTTTTTACATGGGTTGGGTTGTTGGGTTTACGTGGCTAGTATTTTTGCCTGCTGAACCATCTCCCTAGCCACAAGATAATTATTCTCATCCCAAAGGAGAAATTAGAAGAAATAAAAGGATCTCCAGTGCCAGGATTTCCAGTTTTAAGCAAGTTTTGTTTGTTTGTTTTCAGTGCTTGGAGTCAAACCCCAGAGCCTTATGCGTGCTGGGCAAATGTACCTCTGAGCTTCAGCCCCAACCCCATCAGGTTCTAAGGCCTGAAGATAATCTTCTGTGTCTGACTGTCTGGATCTATGGGTTGGTGAGGGTTCCACAAGGCCTTGTTGCCAGGCCTGTCTCTCTGGCCTCATCATCCGTGGCCATGGCTTTGCTGTCGTGGTTAGGCTTCATTTTTCTTGAAGGGTAGCAGACATTTGTAGCTAAGCTAGCCTATTTCATGCCTGTATCAGCCGAGAAATTTGGATAGCTTTTAAAATTTTTTCATTTTATCTGCAAACTGGCAGTGTTTGTTCTGATAACATTCTCAAAAGCACATGTGGCTCTGCTGTATTTAAGGGGACCCATGCCATTCATTGTAGGGTCTCTGTAGAGGCTTCTTAGATGGACCATCTCTATTTCTGGCTCCTTCTGGGATGCTGGATTAGACTATGAGTCGTCGTCCTAATCTTTTCATCAAAACATCCTTGGCCTTTTCTTTAGGGTGTGCTTTCCCAACAGTGAGTTGCCCAATAGAAGTGAAAAGCTCCCAAGTAATAAAGTGCTGATTTCTTTTGGGTCACACTTTTCACCATTCTGCTTGGAACTTGCCCCAGCTAAATATCCAAGCTGACTACTTACCAGTTCTACATTCCATCCCTCAAGCAAGTTTCCACCACTTTCTGGCAAAGAGCTTCCACTTTCCAATAACGTGTTCTTCATTTCCTTCTGCAGCTTCCCTGGAAACACCTTTAATATTAATTTTTCTTCCAGTGTTCTTTGTGTATGTGTATGCACGCATGCATCACATGTACATTTATGTGTGCCACAGCACATGTGTGAAAGTCAGAGGATAACTTCAGGTGTCGATCCTCGCCTTCCATCTTATATGAGACCCTGTCTTGTTTGCCACTGCTATGCCAGGCTAGTTGGCCTGTGAGTTTCCAGAGACTCCCCTGTTTTCTCCTCCCATCTTGCTGTAAGAATGTTGGGATTACAGGTGTGGGCTCTGGGAATTCAAACTCAAGTCTTCATGCTTGTGTGGCAAGTGCATTACCCACTGAGCCATCTCTCTGGCTCCTCTGCCAGTGTTTTGTTGGGGATACAAACATGCTCTGAAATAATGGAAATCTCCTCTTCTTTTACTTCCTCTGATCCCTCACCAGGATAATTTTTAAAGTCTCCGTTTCAGCCAATAAAATTTAGCTTGTTTTTTTTTTTTTCCACCTCAAAATTCTTCAGCATTTACCCATTTCTCAATTCTAAAGTCTCTTTTCCAATTTTAAGTGTTTCTTAAAGTAGCTTCCCACTTCCTGGTACCAAAATCTTTATTGGTTTCCTAGGACTCCTGAAATAAATAACCATGCTCTATGTGGCTTAAAACAACAGAAATCTATTCTTTGTGTGTATGGAGACCAGGAGTCCAAAATGAAGGTGCTGCCAGGGTTGGGTCCCTGCTGAAGGTGCTGAGGGAGACTCTGCACCCAGCCTTCCTCTTAGCCTGTGGACACAGCTGCCAGACTTGGTGTTTCTTTTCATGTGGATGACTCACTATAGCCTCTGCCTCCATCTTCATGTCACCTACTTTCTGTTCTGTATCATCTACTTTTCTGTCTTTTACAAGGACAACTGCTATTGGGTGGGAGCCTACTCTATTCAAGATGAGCTCATATTTCCAAATAAAGTTACATTTGCAGAGGTTACAACGAGTTTGACATATCTGTTTGGAACCATTCATTGTTCAATCCACTATAGGCAGCCTTCCTATAGAAGGAATTCCAAGCACTTGGTGTGGATGGGAAACCTGGGAGGGGAGGGTTGAAGCATGTGGCAGAGCCTTGTTTCCCCACTACAGCAGGAGCGCCCCAAAAGTGCTGTATTCCCTGGTGAGGGCAAGGTCAAGATGAGTGTGGAGGAGCAGATTGACCGGATGCGGCGGCACCAGAGTGGCTCCATGAAGGAAAAACGGAGGAGCCTGCAGCTTCCAGCTAGCCCAGCTCCTGAACCTAGCACCCGGCCTGTCTACAAAGTGGTAATGTCCTCCCAGCCACCCACAGGCCTGAGTCTGCCATCTGCCCACACTGCTGCCCTTGGACCATGGCCAGCCTGAGCCAGACAGCTTGAAGAGAGAACAGACTTGGCAGAACCCAGCAGGGCTTTTACAGTACCCCACTTCATAGACATCCTTTGGCCAGTGTTTCCTCTTTATGTTTAAAGAAAATAATGCCAAAAAACTAATTACAACTGTTTTTGCTGAAATGAATTACTCAAAATTTATTTAGTTTTAAGACTTGCTGCTCTTATAGCGGACTGGGGTTCAGCTCCCAGCACCTACAGATACAGCAGATTACAATTACCTGTAACTCCAGCTTCAAGGGATCCAATACCCTCTTCGGGCTTCTGTGAGTGGGTGTACACACACGCATGCACGCACAAGAAAAGAAAAAAATCCTATAGATTTTAGTAGTAGACAATAGTGCAAACCCATCATGCAGAAGCAGCCATCACTTTTCCATGTTTCTGGAGCATCTTCAGCATGCTGAGTACTGGGCTGGGTTTCCAGGAGACAGTTGTACTATCCCCCAAGCAGTGTAGTTCACAAATCCCATTCATTCATTTAGCCCCATCAAGGACAGCATTGGTAATTAGAAATGATCAGCCCTACTTGATAGGTAAGGAAATCAAGAGAAACTAAGGGATTTCTGGGCCACAGAGCTACTAAGTGCAGAGGTGGGTATGTAGCTTGAGATAGGATCTCCCTGTAGCCCCAGCTGACCTGGAACTCCTATGTAGACCGGGTTGACCTTGAACTCACAAAGATCCACCTGCCTTTGCTTCCCGAGTGCCCAGATTAAAGGTGTGTGCCACCATGCCCAGCTATTTAACTTTTCTTTACAATGAATTTCAGAACTAGAGAGAGATATGATACGTCCTGCCCTCATATACTTCATTCTAGTTCTTAGATTAGATCTTCCATAATATGAACCTCTTAGAAATCAGTACAAGACACTGGTTCTACTGCCCAGAGCATGTGATGTGGTACAGACTGTAAATACAGGAGTGAGCATGAACAGGAGATTCTGATGAGACTGTACCTCTGAGCCTTGCAGTAGGCAGGCATTGCAGGAACAGAAGGGAAGGAGGACGGGCTCTGCAGGGCAAGGCAGTGGGAGCCATGGGTGGCAGCTATATCAAGGATGCTGGTCAGGGAGGGGGAAGATACAGGCACACAGGATATAGTTAGAGCTGCCTGGAGGGATGCATGGGTAGCAGTGGTGTGATCGTAACAGTCTTGTTCCCCCAGGTACGCCGTCACCGCAGCATCCATGAGGTGGACATCTCTAACTTGGAAGCAGCCCTACGGGCAGAGGAACCTGGTGGCCAGGCCTACGAGACACCACGGGAAGAAATTGCCCGGCTTCGAAAAATGGAGCTGGAACCCCAGCACTATGATGTAGACATCAGTAAAGAGGTGAGTGGGTCCAGGGAGGGGCCAGGTGGGGAGAGGAAGGGCCTGGGAGAAGTGGTGACCTAAGTCCCTCCACAGCTCTCCACTCCAGACAAAGTTCTCATCCCTGAACGGTACATTGACCTGGAGCCTGACACTCCCTTGAGCCCCGAGGAGTTGAAGGAGAAGCAGAAGAAGGTGGAGAGGATCAAGACCCTCATTGCCAAGTCCAGGTACTAGGCCTAGGAACACCTCCACTTCCACTGCCCTCCCTGCACCTAGGATTCTTGGGGTTCTAGATGTCTTGGAGGCACTTTGCCTCCCTAGGGTAGAGAAAATGGAAGCGGTGGCTCAAGGTAGCAGTCTATGGCCAGGCATCTCGCAGAAGGAGGGTGCTGCCACTGGGCCCTAGAAAGACCTGCTGGAGCTTGTGCACAAAGCGAAGAGTGCCTCTGCTGATCCTTCTCCCCTTCAAGGCTGCCCCAAATGTTCACTTGAACCTTTGGATTCATTTGAAAACACTGAGGGTATGGGTCCCAACAGTTTTGCCAGGGTCTCCCTCACTCCTAGGGACAGCCTTGCTGGGTACCAAAAGCTGCACACTCAGAGGCCCCTGGCCCTCCCCACCAACCTCAGCTGCAGGCCACCCCCAACCAATTGGACCATGCTGTCCCTCCCTCCATGTCTGTGTGTCTGTGCCTCTTCAGTATGCAGAACGTGGTGCCCATCGGCGAGGGGGACTCAGTGGACGTGCCCCAGGACTCAGAGAGCCAGCTGCAGGAGCAGGAGAAGCGGATTGAAATCTCCTGTGCCCTGGCGACCGAGGCCTCCCGCAGGGGCCGCATGCTGTCTGGTGAGAGGGGCTGGGCCTCGCTCCGCCAGGGACACCAGCTGACCAGGTGTAGGGGAGGATGCAGCACTACCAGGGGGGCAGGTTCAGAGAGATGCCAGGCCAAGGAGCCGTTCCTGAGGATCAGACTGAGCTTTCATCCAGCACCAGATTTTGTGCTAGGGGCCAGAATGGCTGACTTCCAAGGGACTCGACTAACAGCTGCTTTATGGAGGACTAGACAGAGGCTTCAGGTAGCACAGGGAGCCATTTGCACCTGGAAAGGCACAGAAGAGAGGATGATTGCGCTTCATCAGGAGGTAGAAGCGTATTTGCCACTGTGGGTGAGAGGGCCAGATATTCAGGGCTTCTTTTGTTTCCCTTTCTTGCTACATGCAAATAGAAGAATGGACAAAGCATAAAAGAGGGGAGAGTCATACAACTGCTGACCCAAATTCATTTTCCTGCTAAGAAGAGATGAGGAAGAAGACGTGTCTTCCTATTGACACATAAGTCTCACTTAGATTCCACAGGATGAAGTCACCAGGACTAACTTCTCTGGGGCTAGAGTAGCAACCTGGAGGAGAGGAGCTTTGAATGTGACTGGGCTTTGATGAGTGAGAGTCTGTATGAATGAGAGGAGGAAGAGAAGACAATGATTAGCTCACCCAGACATGGTAAGAGCCTTTTGGTTTGTTGGTTTTGAGACAGGGTCTGGCTATGTAGCCCAAGTCCTCAATTTTCCGGCCTCAAACTGCTGAGAACTGGGATTACAGGGTGCGCCCATAGTGCGAGCTTTCTTGTCCATAGGAAGAATGACACAAAGGAAGCCATGGCTTAAGGTGACTTTAGTAGAAGAGAGGGGAACCAGGTACACAGGTCAGTGTTATAGAAGCCCTGGCAAGAGGCAGGCAGCAAGCAGGTTAAGGAGAGAGGAGGGAGCTCAATGGAAAACGTATTGCTTTGTGTTGGTGAGGAAGGAGGCTTCCAATCCAAGCCTTCACTTCTTCATTGGTAAAATTCAGACCCAAACACTTGCCTGCAGTTCAAAATGGCACAAGAGTCAGAAGCAACAGATGGCAGCCCTCACACAGTGCCTGGCACGTAGTGCTGTGACATGGCAGTGTTGTGCTGCTAGTAGAGATAGTTGAACTAGTAAGAGCTGAAGTGGAAATGAGACTCCTTTATCAATTTTCTAACATTATTTATGCATATTTGCAGAAACCAGAGGGTTATAAGTCACAGCAAAGAGGATTTTGGTTAAGTCCTAAGAGAGAACCTGCTGTTAAGCCCCAAGGGAGAACTTGCTGTCATTTAGGGAATAGTGAACTTTAGGAAGAGGTGGCTCAGGGAAGCCCCAAAGTTTGGAGGTGCTCCAGAGATAGGCTCTCAGGCTGACTAGAGCTGAGGGCTAGGAAGGATGGCTTCCTACCTGCAGCCAAAGGCAGCAGAACCAGTTTGGCTACAAACAGGGAGGCCTCTGGTGACCTCTCTGTACTTTCTCTACAAAAGGAACTTGAACCTAAATTGAACTCAAACTAAATTCCACATGCTTTGGGCAGAAGTCAACTTCCTATTTTAAGAACACAGCACATACAATGCTACTTAAAAACTCCCCTCTGCCCTGCCCCAGACCTGGCGCTTTCCACTGTTACTCCCCAACCCAGGTTTCATGGAAACAATCCACCCGGACCTATCACATTTCCCCCTCTAACACATGGGCTGACATTGTCAGGTCTGTGTGCTGAAAGCAAATGGTCACTGTTTTTTCCAAAATCCCAACTATTTAAAAAATAACTAAAGTAGGGCCAGACCTCAGACCTAGCCCACTGCCCTCACTACCCCTCACTACTCTGGGCCTGTGGCCCAGAGGCCCCAGAACAAGAACTGGTCCTGGGCACATGTAGTATGGGCATAGGTTCATACCTAGGAGACTGGAAGGGGGATAGGCTGGGCATAGGTCCCAGGAGCTGCAAGAACAGCAGGCACAGGGTAGAAAGCTAAGTGCCTGGTGTGGGTGTGTGGCAGGCATAGTGAAATCAATGCATGCTATATTGTTTGTTGTAAGTCTTCCAGTCACTATGCAGAGATTCAGTATGTACCATATGAGATGTGGCATTTCTGAGTGTGTATATCTGGCACAAATGTCGTGTACAGTGTACGTATCTGGTAATGTATCTGTGTGTGTTCACATGATCAGTGTGTATGGAGGGAATGTTTGAAAACAAATGCAGGAATATATATGTGTGTGTATGTAAAATGTGCAAAATGTCTATGAGCATTGTGTGAAGACTTATTTTTTTGAGTCCAGGTTGTGTTTGGTAAGCTGTTTATCTGTAGATGTTCACGTGTGTGAGATGTTTGTATGAGATGTTCATTCACAGTATGTGAGTGGAGCAGCATCTATGAATGCATTTCTGTCACTGGCTTTTTGCACAGTGTAGGGAATGATAAGACCTCTCCTGTGTGTTGTGCATGGTATATACAGTGCAACATTTGTGAACATGTCTGTGTGTACAAGATGAGAGATGAGTATACTCATAAATGTGTGTGGCTAGTCATGCATGTAGATATATACACATTATAATACCACATCTGTCCAACATCTGTTTGCTAACTTGTTTCATTGGATATATTCTTAATATATACTTAGCATTTCTGTTTCCTTAAAGAGGTAATATTTATATAACTGCCTTTCCTTCCTCAGTATTGCAAATGTCCTTATGCTCCTGACCTCTGTTAAAGGCATGTGCCGAGGGGCTACAATCCTTCTACATAGATCTCTCTGTAGCTACCCAACCATGGTCCCTTTGTACCTTACCAGCCATCTTTACTTTTCATAAAGGATTCTCTTTTTACTTGTGCCTTCTTCACTGGACCTCTCAATTCTTGCCTCCACCCCCTGCCTTTCTATTTCTAATCTCCTGTGGACCACAACTCCAGCAGGTCAACACGTATTAGAATTGTGCATAAAGATAGTGACTGGATTTCATAAGACTATGTGTCGGCCATAGGAGTCTCAGTACATGTACATTACATGTTTTGGCTTCCCAGAGATTGCCCTTGCTTATTTGTTGGGTTTTTAACTGTTTTAGAACTCGAGTATGCTACATAAGTAACCTTCAGCTGTTCATATGGATATGCACATGGATGTGTTTGAAAGCATTTGTGAGTGTTTTGCATCTGATGTTACAAGTGTGTGGGAATCACATGGAAGGACCGAGCCTTGGTAGCACTCAAACACTCATGTATGTGAGTTGTGTACAATGAGTGTAACCATATAGTATTGCCAGGCACAAACTGCATTGTGTAAACTTGACACAACTTCGCACTCACATGAGAGCAATCTGGACTCCATACACACGGGAGGTGTGTGGATAAGCAATAGCAAAAGCCACCATGGCCTATCTTGTGCAGGGGGCAGAGAAGGTGATGAGGTCCATGCCAGGGTGGGGAGCAAGAGACTGGGAAGTTCAATGTCACATCCCTCTTGATGGAAATGCAGTGCAACCCTGGCTGGGGTCTGGTTCTTCTCTGAGCCCAAGCAAAGGTGTTCTGCCATCCTTCTACCTCAGCCGCACTAAGGATGTGCAAGAGCCTGGGCCACATAGAACTTGTCCTCAGCGATAGGACTCTCCTAGTCATTGTCCTACTCCTTCATTGTTCTTAACATGAAATAATGATGATAGAGTAAAATCTCATTAATCCAAATGCCATCTTTAAGTTTTGAAATTATTTGTTCTCCTGGATTAATGAAAGAAGGTCTCTAGTGATTGTGGGAATTGCTTCTGAGCCCTTAGTCCCACCAAAGTTAACAGAACTGACTTTAGGCCTTTCAAGAGACCATGTTCTTTGGAAAAAGTTATCATGGTGGCTGTCTCACTTCTCTGTGAAGTGGGAGTCAGATGATATGGACTGGTGTGATTTTACCGCACTATTAATCATATTCATGAGTGATGCTGTCATAGATGGTGTAAAGTGACACTCCTTTATTCTGTCCACACAGTGTAGAATGTGACTCTCCCATTGGCCCAGAGAGGTGCCTGGATTTGGCCAGGTCTCCTGTGGGGCCTCACTATCCTCCATGGTACCCTGGGAGTGAGGACAGCTTTGCCTCAGCTTAAGCAAGCTTCCCAGCCCTCCTCTCTCTGCTTGCCTCCCTGCCTTGCTCCCTGCCAAGGAGGGGCCTTGCTTGCTCTGGGTGCCCATCCTCCTCCCCCAGTGCCCATTGTCACCTATTCACCTCCCTGTTCATTTCTGTTTCCAGTGCAATGTGCCACCCCAAGCCCTCCCACCTCCCCTGCTTCCCCGACTCCACCAGCCAACCCCCTCACGTCTGAATGCCCACGGGGCGCCGACAACAGCCATACCATGCGGGTCTGAGTTCTGACGTAAGCACTTTTCTACTGTATTTCATGATCCCGGGGAGGGGAGGTCCTTCCCCCACCCCTCTGAGCCATCTATGCCCTCTCATTGCTTCACCCCACCCTGGTGCTCTGTTCGCTCTATCCCCCTCCATTTGTCTGCTTGAGCCACCGATGTCTCCAAGCAGTACTGGCTACCAGTGGCTGGCAATGCTGCTTCTCAGACGTGGCAATGCCAATGGACTCTGCCTCTCTGGAAGCAGAAGGAAATGGCGCTGAGACCCCACCTGTCTGATGCCGGGGAAGGTGCTTCCCTGGCCCCCTGCCTCTGTACCTACCACCCCATACTTCCCAGCTGCCAATCTGCTTTCCATCTGTTGAGATACAAAGCATCCCTGCCACAGAACCCTCAGAACCCCCCAGAAGCTGTGTCTCCATCCCCAGACATTATTGTAACCAGAAGCAACGCTGGAGCACCATAGCCCAAGGCTTATACCTCCCTGCCATGGCAGCACAGAGCCTCCTGTCAGGAAGAGGCAATGCTTACTCCTTACCCTCCCTTCCCTCTCTCCAGCTGGGGAGTGGGATGGACTCTGGCAGCTCTTAATGAAGCTTCTTCCTCCCTAGAGAAGCTGACTGGGTTGTTGCCCCTGTGTTCTGTCTCACCTGCTTCTCTTTTCTCTAGTGCAAGCCCTGGCTGAGGTCAATGCTGTGAAGTTCCACAGAGCCACCTTCTGAAAGCTTCCTCTGCACACCTGGGGTCCTGGCTCCTCACCTTGGCCTCTTACCCTTGCACCTACCACCACAGGAATGCCACAGGGAGCTAGGTTGGGTCAGGGCTGCTGCAGAAAGGAGCATGGATGCCTGGGTATCCACACCTGCTGCCCTCACCCTGAAACCTCCACTATCATGTCATGGCTCTGAGGTGAACCTGGGATGGCAGGGGCAGGATGCTGTTCTCTTTGATACCCAAACCACAAGGAAGCACTGTTTGGCATTGTATGCCCCCCAGCACCATCCCTGATGGAGAATGTATTCTGATGGAAGTTATCTTGGGTGAGGACTAGAGGTGAAGAGGAGACAGACCCTCACCCTCTGGGGAACCCATACAACACTGAGAAAGGACAGCTCCTACCATCGTCTTCTTCCACATCAGCCCCAGATGCCTCAGTGATGCCCAAGGCTTTGACCCACCTCTGCTGATGTGCTTCCCAGAGTTCACTGGAGACCAGCCACTCTGCTTGCGCCAAAGAAGAGGATGAGCAACAGGGAGAGGCTCCTGGGCTCCCAGAGGGGACAAGTACTGTGGAGAGAGGACAGCAGGTCTGTACAGTGTCTGAGGGCAAGTTGGAAAGGGTAGCAGACAGAAGAGGAGAGAGGCTTGGAGAGTGAAGGAAGGAAGAGAAAGTAAGATGCTTTCCCAAGTAATGAGGATGTAAGGACAGAGGAAAATGGGATGGAGAGCAGGACTGGCTTCCCCAGAGTAGAGCCATAGGTTGGTGCCAGTCAGAGGGTCTGATGGTTACCTGTGTACCTCCACAACTTCCTCAGGAGCAGGTAGTCCTGGGAGGGCTCACTGGGCATGTATCAACCCCAGCTGAGGTGCTCGGTAGCAAGGTATGGACTGAGGGGAAGTTGGGGTGAGATAGCTAGGAGATGGTCCTTTCTGGGTCAGGGCCTGGTGTCTGCCTCTCCCTCCTGAGGTCATGGGCAGAGAGAAGGCCCTGTCTTACATAGGATTTGTTAGCCTTGGGGCCTTGTCTAGTCAGTTTCTTGCCCCCATTCCACCATGGAAAGTGCTGTGGCCCAGCTGAGAGTTTGCCCCAGGAGGGGGAAATGAGCCTTACCTGGAAAGCCAGGTTCCAGCCCCTACTTCTCATCTCAGGCATCTAGAGCAGGACCAGAGGCTGGGCTTTCTTACAATCCACCTACCCAGGGAGGCTGTGGGAAGAGACAGGAGCAGAGCACAGTGGTCCTCTGTTCTACTCACCTTGAGTGAGAAGCCAGAAAGCAAGAAGAGAGGGAGCTGAAGACACCAGTCCCCAGGCCTTGTCTTGGCCAGAGACTTCAGCCTGAGCTGCAGTGGCCCCAAGAACAACTGTTCCATCTCCTATCAGCTCATCACCACTCCTTCATGGCCAGGGCAGTTACTGGTTTATATGCAAGTAAAAATGACAATTCATTCAACAAATGCTAGTCTAGCACCTTTCATACATCCGGCACTGTTCTAGGTGCTTAGGATATTGTCTTGCTTTTGACTATGGACTGAGAGGACTCCACCACCTGTGTTCATCTCTAGAAAGTTTCCAGAACATGATTCTTGGCTACATCTCCCATCTGCACAGCTCAAGCACCCCAAATCAGCCCTTTCTCCCCTATAGACTGGCAGGTGGGATTAGCTCCCAGGCCACCTTCTCTCTCCATACCCTTCTTCCAGAAGAAACAGGTTTCTTTTTAGGGCCTTCCTTACCTTTCCCTGCATTTGTCTCTCCCTTTTTTTTAAAGTGGTATTTTTAGAAATATATGTAAAATACCAAGAAATGTCTGCGCCTGTCTCATCCAGAATTCATAAAGCTGGCTCTTTATGTTGCTTTACATGCCTTAATATATGTTTTATGGAAATGACTCATGGTATAGATACCTGTGTAATGTATAGATTTGTCTGTCCTTTCCTTAGCTCCTGTCCAGACCCATTTTCTGTCCACGCCATTCTTAGCATGTTGAGAACATACTCCTTGCCTTTTTGATCCAAAGAAAGGAAGAGGAAAGACTTATTTTAAGGCAGACCTATTTTATGCTTTTGTTTAAAAAGCAAATCTATTTTCAAAGTGTGCAATGTCTGAATGGGATTGGCCAGTGATGTAAGGAGACTAGGGTGGCTGTCCCTAGATCCCAGTCTGTGCCCTTCCCTTTCCCCCAGTGACTCACTTCCTTTCCATTCCCCCAGTTTGCAAAGGGCTGGTCCCCAGGCTCACCTAGACAGCATCATTACAGGGGCAGGGCATTCTCTCAACAGTCTAAGAATTTTAACCCACTGTCAATTTCAGAAGGCACCCTAAGGGTTGTCAGGTATGTGAGCCTCTTGAAGGAAATGTTTACTGCTGCAGGCATGGGCTCCTGGGCCATCCACTTCATCCTTCTGTGGGAAAGAGTCAACATGTTGCTGGCAGCCTATGGTAGCCAGCCTGAAGGATGACAGTCTGCTCCAACAGACCGAAGGTATGAAGTGAAGCCCAGAAGAAGTGGCTTGGGACCCTCTGTGTTCTCTGAGTCGCTCCATTGAAGTCCTTACAAACTCCTTGAGCCTCCTGCACTTTCTCTTGAGCCCTCCCTTGCTCTCACCTGTTTCCCTCTAGGACTTTTTCTCTCTGGGGGCTATTGTGGAACCTTGGTCTGGCATCCAGACTTGAAGCTTCACTCTTGGCTGGGGAGGGTCCCACAGACAGTGTCACATTTTAGACTTTCCCAAGAGGAAGGCTTCAGTGCTTTGGCTGCAGTTCTGACCTGGGCCAGCTCAGCCTCCCAAACCACTTTCTGACCAGTAAAGTGGGCAAAGGGACTCTAGCCTTGCAAGGATTTGGGTGGGATTTAGAACCTGCTTCAGCTCTGAAATGAAGGGCTCGGGAATTTTCCAGAGCTCCCAGTCACCAGCTCTGACATTTGTTGGCCTAGTTCCCAGCCTGGAGTTTCTTGCTATGAATGAATAGTGCCCACACAGAGGCCTAGGGTTAAGTACCCCTTCTGGGGAGACCTCTGGCTACCCAGGTAGGGCCTTCCCAATTAGCACATTACCTCTTCCATCAATTACCAAGAGGCTGCGATCAAATACTGCTACTGTCACTTTAAAGATTTTCTGGAGGCACAAGCTTGCAAGCTGCAAGCATGTTCTCCTGCCTTTATAAAAGGCATGTTCTTGGAGCAGGGCTGACTACTGCAAGATGGAATCCCTTCCTTCCCTTTAGGTACCCTCCTCCTGGCAGCTCTTAAAACTAAGGAAAAATACTATATATAAATATATATATACACATATCTATTTATGCACATATTGGGGCCAATTTGATTTGCTAGTGTTAGACAATAAATCATATAAGGAAATTTATGATCTCAGTGTCTTTATTTAGTATGAAAGTGACCTTAGATAAAAAAAAAAATAAGGTTAGATAAACAGCATCTCTGTTGGGACCACACAGCTGTAACATCCCCTGAGCATCTGTCTAGCCAACCACCCTCCCAGGGAGAAGAGGGCACCTTGGCTGAGGTAGGAGTTCACTCTCTCCTTTCAGCAAGCACTCTCAGATAGGTACTGAAGAACCCCCGTGAGCTCTGCATTTTTATCTTGCAAGTTTGTATAAATCCAATACACAAAATAAAGTGAATGGTTTGTACCTGTGGTGTATGTGTTCCACTCCGCGTCTGTGTCAGCCTTTGGCTGTCCTCAGGATCCACGGAAATTTAGAGGTTTGGCAGGAAAGAACTGAGGGGCTGGGATGGGCACAGAGCCTGGGGCCTCCTCCCAGTCACTTGGGCTGCACTTCTCGGCCTCCTTCCCCAGCAAGTATCCCAGAGTTCACAGGAGAGTGTCACCTGCCTGGAGCTAAGGGCAATGGTGTGCTACCCTTATCACTGTCATCTCTGATCTAGGTGACCCTAGAGCTCAGATTCTCCAGGCCTAGCACTTTCCTTGGTTTGCCTCTGAGGTGGAGGGTAGGACCACAAAAGAAGAAGAAGAAGAAGAAGAAGGAGAAGGAGAAGGAGAAGGAGAAGGAGAAGGAGAAGAAGAAGAGGAGGAGGAGGAAGAAAAATTCTAGTTTTTCTTGATGCACAATGCTCTATTGCTATTTAGGGCACAAAGAGGTGTGTGACTTGGTGGTAGACCAGATATACCACCTCAGTTCTCGTCTAGCCTTAACCTCCCTTAACCTCCTTGGCTTCTATTGGCGGGTATTTACTGCAAGTATCAGGGACTTTACTAGACCTTCTCAGTTTAAAATCTCACTGTGAGTACTGGGTCAAGAGGCCCAGTAAAGCTGGACCTGGCAGTTCACACCTGTGATCCCAGCACATGGAAGTAGAGGCAGGAGCCTGGGCTACACAGACCCTGTCTCAAAAAAAGCAAAGCAAAAAACAGACTGACACCTTCAAGGCTGTTCTCATCCCAACAGCACCGGAAGAGTAGGTGTTCTTTTTAATATGTATTTTGCATTGGTAACAAGACAGCTATGAACCCTGATAATCTGTGAACCAGAAAGAGTTGGGACCAAATGTAGACTTAAGGCAGACACCTTTGGCCAGGCATGGTAGGTAGCACATCCTAGGAAACTGAGGTTGAATCATGAGTTGAGGGTCAGTCTGGCTACAAAAAAACCCTGTCTCAAAAAAACAAAGGAAAAAGAAAACACCTTTGAGGAAGGAGGGGGGCCGTAGGGGAGCTTGTCACTTTCTGGGACCCTGAGCCTCCATCTGCAGCCCCCATCAACCAGAGCCAGTGGCAGGGACTTGCAGGGGATTGTGCTGTCACAGGATACTACCTATTGTCACAAGCAAGAACAGCTGCTCTCCTAGGATGAAGATGCTCAGGTGGTCCCCGGGTCGTCCTCCCCATCAGATGAATCCTCCAGCCAAACCAGGTTGGGTTTGTAGAGGGGCAGATCAGGACATGGAATGAAAAAGCCACTGCAGCACCCGCTTCCAGATTGTGCCCTGGGACTGTGTCATGGATCGCTTGTTCTTGGCTAGGCATGGCTGCTCATACAGGCTCTAGACCCTGCTGAACTGTGCCCACCTGACCCCCTGCATCCCTCCAGTGTGGTAGATCTGAGGCACACTCGTCCCTGCCTCATGAGCTGCATGAAGATGAACAGATGAGTTGGGTTCTGCAGCCTCAGGTTCCCATCTGAAGATAGTGACCATCTCTAAGAAGGTCTCAAGAAAATTTTTAAAAATGGATGAAAAATACTTTAAGACCTTAAATTCATTTACAGTTATGAAGGAGTTGTGGTGACATTGAGAAGACCCCTGACCCACCTATAGGGCACGATGACTGAAGGGTAGATGTTTTCCAAGGTCTCTTCTTCACTAACTAGTCTGTGTCTCTTGCCAAAAGATAGCCTTGAAACCCTCCAGGGTGCTATCTCCTGCTTAGTCACAGGCCTGCAGCCCCAGGGAGCAAGCGTTACACCATGGTGGACAGGTATGAAAACAGCCACAGGCTTAGGACCAGCCTGGGTTCTAGGGCCAAAGACTTCTTCCTGGGGTTGACCTTGTGAATGGCTCTCTCTTGGAAGGTGAGTTGTGGATACCTAGCTCCGGTGCCTGGAAAATCAGGCCGGGAAAGTCCAGTTCAGAGTTCAGTTGTCCCAGGTAACAAGAGTGATGGTGGGAAATGTTCCTAGCTGCTGTTTTATACCATGAGTGAATAGTTTAGAGCCACCGTTTTGAGATGTGAACAGAACTCCCTCATATAACAGTCTATTAATAGAATGCTAATAATAACAATAGTAATTAATATAACTATACTAGAATAGTAATAGCTCATTAAGTGTTACCATGTGCCAGGTATGAGATCTCTATGTGACAGGTACCATTCTTGATGTTTATGTTGTGAGCTTTTAACGGCTAAGCCTTCTCTCCAACCCATAATAGGAACTATTCTTATCCAAGAAACAGAGACACAGAAAATGTAGAATGCCTGCAGTCTCTGGGAGCTAGGAGCAAACCTAGCAGCCTTGACCTTAGAGCCCAAGGATTTTGATGGGGGTCATACTGCCCTCTAGGGGACATTTTGACAATTTGCAAGAAAGCCTTGAATTGTCTCAAGGATGGGTATTTAGTGACTGTAATGCAAAACAAAGAATTATCCCGAGTCCTCCCTGCCCAGTTTTAGAGTGTATGACTGGACCAAAACTACTATTCGTGTGAGTTCACAATGGTCCAACTCCTTATACTGTGAAAAATTTGAAGAATCTTTTTTAGAATGACTTTCTTGAATAAGTCAGCAAGATAGGAAATGGTTTTTGTGAAGAAACAAATGGAACATGATATTGTCTCAAAATTATTGAATAATCCACCTTATGTATTGATGACACATGTATTAAAACATTTCATTCAACTAAAAATGGTTCCAGTGCATATATATTGCTGGGCAAGCACAGAATCTGGCTGAAGGTACCTGACAGGAGAGCTGTCAGCCAGGTATCACTAAAAATCACTAAATCAGAGATCTCCTTAAGAAAAGTTTTAAGAAATTATTTTAGAGGCTGGAGAGATGACTTGGTACCATACTGCTTACTTAGTACATACTGCTCTTGCAGAGGATCTGAGTTCAGTTCCCAGCACCCACGTCAGGTAGCTCACAACCACCTGTAACTCCAGCTCCAGGGGATCTGATTCTGTGGGTACCTGAACTCATGTGCACATACCCCTACACAGATGCACATTTGTACACATAATTTAAAATAATAAAGATAATAAGCTGGGCATGGTGGTGCGCATCTTTAATCCCAGCACTTGGGAAGCAGAGGCAGGCAGATCTCTGTGAGTTCAAGGCCAGCCTGGTCTACATAGCCAGTTCCAGGCCAGCTGGGGCTACAGGGAGAACCTGTCTCAAAAAAGACCAATCAATCAATCAATAAATAAATAAATAAATAAATAAATATAATAAAAATAAAAGTTTAAAAATAAATCATTTTCTATTCTTGCCATCCTTTATATATGTGTTTAATTTTTTGTTGTATGTGTGTGCAGAGATCAGAGGACAACTTTGTGGAATTCTTTTTTGTGGAGTTTTCTTTCACCTTTATGTGAGTTCCAGGACTGGAACTCAGGTTGCTAGGCTTTTGTGGCAAGCACCTTTACCTGCTGAGCTGTCTCTCCAGTCCTGATCCTTTACATTTTAAAAATTTTGTGCCAATTGAATTTCACTCCACACTGGATCACATTTCACAGCACATGTGTGCCAGGAGACATCCAAGCCTGGTCAATGTCATGGTCTTCTGACATTTTGACAATGGGCACACACAACGCAGTTCATCTACGAGCACCGTGTGCTTCCTCGTGGTCCACTCTGTCTTCTCTAATCTGCCTTGTTTCGCCACTCCGTCTTCAATTAGGGTTGCTTTCCTGTTTCTCTTGTTATAGACAAGTAGCTTGGGTCTCTAATTATCTGAGATAGTGTTTTTTTCTTTGTTTGTGGTACTGAGGATTGAATCTAGAGCCTCACATGTGCTCGGCAATCATTCTACCATTGTCCAATACACCCCTCCCTTTTTATTTTTATTTTTAATTGATTATTTTTATGTTATGTGTATGAGTGTTTTGCTTGCATGTATGGAAATGCACCACATGCATGCAGTGCCCACAGAGGCCAGACGAGGGCGTTGGATCCCCTTGCACTAGAGTTATGGATGATTGTTAAGTGCCATATAGGTTCTGGGAACTGAACCCCAGTCCTCTGCAAAAGCAGCTAGTGCTCTTGACCACTGAATCATCTCTCTAGTGCAGCCCCCCCTTTTGGCTCTTTTTTATTGAAGTTTTGTGAATTTCATACAATATAGATTCCCTCCCCTATATTACCCCATCCAATTTTATGTACTCTATATTATATAACATAGTATATAATTATATAATGTAATATATACATTATCATTATATAATATAATATATAATATTATATATATTAAGGCCTATAGAGTCAAATTGGTGTCCCCAGATGCCCTTCAGTGGGGTTCAGCCACTGGCGCCTGGTCAACCTACCAAGAGTCTCACCCTTAAATGAGACTGACTCTCCCCCTCCCAGCAGTCATCAGTTCCTCAGGTGGAGTTGGGGTTTCTCACCCACTTCCCCATGTCTATGCTGGGATTTTGTCTGGTTTGAGCTTGCTCGGGACTTGTACATGCTGTCATCTTTGCTGAGCTCATATGAGTAACAGCCCAGCTGTCTAGAAAACTGTTTTTTTGTGGCTATCTACCACCTCTGGCTCTTACAATCTTTCTACAATAATCCCTGAGCCTTGGGAGGCAGAAGTTTATATAGGTGTTCTATTCAGGAATAAGCAATCTGAAGTCTCTTATTCTCTGCACATTGGCCACTTATGGTTCTCTGTGTTAATCACCATCCATTGTATAAGGAAGCTTCTCTGCTGAGAGTTGAGGGATGCATTAATCTATGGGTATATCAATAAGTCATTAAGAGTCCATTTAATACTGTATTATTTTGCACAATAATAGTATTAGGCTGTCCCCTATGACCTATGACCTGTTTGGCCTCGGGTTCCTAGGCATAACATCAATGTCAGGTATGGGCTGCATCCTATGAAGTACACCTTAAATCCAATTAGAAAGTAGTTGGTTATTCCCATAATATTTGTGCCTCTGTTGCATCAGTATGCCTATCTTGCCAGGCCAGTTGTTGTTGTAACTGGAAGGATTCACAGCTGGGTAAGGTTGATGATTAATTTTCTCTTCAGGTCGCATTATGATACCTTCCAGCACTATGAAAGCTAGCCAGTAGAGACGAAGCTTTAAAGTCAGCACCAGCTTGATTTCTCCTTGTTTGTTTTACAGTTCATATATGTAGTGTCTTCAGCAATAGGGTCTTACTTACCATGAAGTTCTGATGGGTAACCAAGAGCAGAGGCAAAGGCCAGTATTGTTTAAGGGTCTGTGGGACCCCTAATCAACAGCTTCAAATAAGGGAGTCCACTCCTGGCATTGGGCTTTTACTTTGCTAGCCTATGTTGTCTAGTAGGGGCAATGTCCCCCTGTTATAAGGTAACTCCTTTTAATCCCAATTTATCTTTTTTAATTTTTATTTTTTAATATTTTATTATTTTTATTTTATGTGTATGAGTGTATTGCCTGCATGTGGGTAGGTGCACCTGTGTTGTACAATGCCTGAGATCAGAACAGGGTGTCAGATCCCCTGGAACTGGAGTTACAGATGGTTGTTAACCACCAGGTGGGTAACCGGGTCCTCTGTAAGAGCAGCTAGTACTCTTAACCACTGAGCCATCTCTCCAGGCCCCCTATTTTTTTAAGAGACACAGTCTCATTAAGTTTTTCAGATGACCTTGAAATCTGTAATCCAAGGGGGGTTCTTGAACATAGGGGTCTTGCCTCACCTTACTGAGTGGCTGGGATTACAGAACTGTACAATTCCTAACATCAGGTTTTAGTCCAGCTGTCACTTCTTTTTCTGTCTTTTCGGAAAAGGATCTTACTATGCAGTCCAGGCTGGCCTCTAACTAACTAGGTAGCCCAGGCTGGCCTCAAACTTGAGATCTTCCTGGGTCGGTCTCCTGAGTACTAGGATTATAAACATGCCACCATGCCTGACTTCCTTTGTTTTCATATGTGTCTGTGGTTTTGTTTCTGTATAAAATGACCCTAGTTTTATTTGTTTGTTTTTTGGAGGTTTTGTTGTTTGTTTGTTGTATTTTTAGTTTTGCTTTTGTTTTTGAGACAGGGTCTTACTATGTATCCCTGGCTGGCCTAGAACTTAGTATGTATAGACTGGGCTGGCCTGGAACTCACAGAGAACCATCTGTCTCTGCCTCCTGAGTGCTGAGATTAGAGGTGTGTACCATGATGCCCAGTTTAACCCTAGTTTTCTATTTCTCTTTAACTCAAGCACTTTTATTATGCATAGTACAAGTGTCTGCCTACTATTTTATGTGAGTCCTCTTACAGGTTTTATCTGAGCATTTGTATATTGAGAGACATCATGTCTTATAAATTATTCTTATGTTCCTTTTTTGTGTGGCTTTGAGTTTTCAAATGATATTTGGATGTCAGTTATATAATCTGTCAATTTAACGTCTAGATTGAGAACACTACAAGGGGTACTTGCCATAGCAGTGCTGAGAATCACCCTCTGCAATGAAGAAAAGACTATCAGAGATGATCTACCCCTTCTTTGGGCTTACAGAGCAGGGAAGGACACATCCACTAGAAGCCCTAAAGCCAAGTGGCTAGCTTTGCCTCCCCATAGCTCAACCTCTCAGTTCCAAGCAGGACATTGCTGGGGAAAGTTGAAACCTTTGCTGCCTAACTCCGTGTGGCATAGCTGCCTTTGGTTTACCTAAATCTGACTCCCCCTAGGTCTGCAATAGGTTTTACTCAGATGAGCCTTGGCCCTGGCATCTTCTATAATTACTAGCCTGGAATCAAAACTACTTTCAAAATGACTTTAGCACATTCTCAAAGAGGCACATCATTCCAATACTTCCTATAACCTTCACCAAAACAAGTGAGAAACCAGGCATGCCCCAGACCCCACTCCTTGCATATTCAGTCCAAGTTGTGCAGAGGGGGGAGCACTGAGCTCAGCCTCTGAGATGAGCTGGAGGGGACTTGGTGGGTGTTAGCTACAGAACAGGTCTGTGTCTTTAAGCAGCCATTTGTGTGTGAGGAATGTGGAGGGATGGGAGTTAATGATTTACCAGCAGCTCCTTCACAGTTGCCAAGGGTCAGCTTCCTGGGAGCATGCCCAAGCTCTGACCTCTTGGCTCACCACTAGGTAGCAGACCCAGAAGCCCCCCTGAAGCATGATCTCCATCACTGAGTGGCAAAGTAAGTGGAATGACTGGTGGGAGGGCATGGGGCTGGAGTCAGGATCCCTGCTAGGGTGGTGAGCACATGCTCTTTCCAGCTGTCTCCTCCCCTGGGGACCTACAAGTGCGACCTCTGGAACCAGCAATTGGAAGCTTCTACGTTGGCATCCCAGAGGCAGCAGGCCATGGTGGGTGTGACTCCTGCCTTGCATGATGGGGGCTTGCCCAGATACTCAGGCCACGGCAGGCAAGTTCACAAGGCAAGCTAAGCCCTTCCCACCCAGGGTTCTGAGAAGTAGGATTCAGCACAGGGGACCCAGGAGGCCTCTGCCCACTTAGACATTTTCTCTCCAAACCCTCAAGGTCTCTTGTAGCCATGGAATTATAGCCTCACTCCAGACATCTCTCCTTTTCCTTTGGGGGTATGGGTATAGGCAGCCCACCTTCTGGGAAAAGTAGGATGTTCACAGGGAGGGGTAGAGGAGAGCTGTGGGCTTTATTGGGGTAAGTTGCTTAGCCTCTGAGCCCACGTTCTCCTCAGTGGAACCATGTGTCCCAAGCACTGTGCCAACAAAGAGCAGACAACTGAGAATGGAGCAGGCAGGTCCCTACTTACCAGAGGGGGAAGGCAGATCATTAGCTTATGAAAGAGTGATCATGTAGCATGTCAGCCAGCAATAAGAGCCTCCCACCAAAAGCAAAACAGAGTAAGGGGACTATGGAGTCTGAAGTAGGGGCATATGTTTCATACCCAGTGGTCAAGGAAGGCTTTGCTGGGAAGGGCCCTTAATACAGAGGCCTTCAGGAAGTGAGGGAGCAGGCCCTGCAACTATCTAGAGGGAGAATGTTCCTTAAAGAGGGGACAGCAGCACAAAGGTCCTGAGGCACCATATCCGTGGTATGTGAGGACCAGCAAAGAGGCTGGTACAGCTGGAGTATCATGTGTGGAGGGGGAGCTTAGGCAGGGGAGAGCCCTGAGGGCCAGCCCATGCCCACATACCGATTTCCCTTTTATCTAATAAGGTGGGGAAGCATTGGAGGGTGTTGTATGTGAGAGGGAGAATCTCTGCATTGTTAAAGCTCACTCCAGGTGCTGGATTGAGAATAGACTGTAGGGGAGCGGCCAGCAATATAGAGACCATTCTGAGACAAAAAGAAGGCAGGAGATGATATGGGCAGTGCAGAGGTGGGAGTGGTCAGGAGGCAGGGTGTGGGCGGGTGCAGAGGAGGGAAGTGGTCCTGTGTATCTTTTTTTTTTATTTTTTAAAATTTATTATTTTTATTTTATGTGTATGTGTGTATTGCCTGCATGTAGGTAGGTGCACCTGTGTCGTGCAATGCCCAAGGAGGACAGAAGACGCTGTCAGATCCCCTGGAACTGGAGTTATGGACAGTTGTTAGCTGCCATGTGGGTGCTGGGATTTGAACCTGAGTCTTCTGCAAAAACAGTCAGTGTCCTTAACCGCTGAGCCATCTCTCCAGCCCCAAGTCCTGTGTATCTTTTGGGAGGAATTTTCTGGCAGATGGGATGTAAGCTATGAAGGGAGGAAGACTCAAGAATGCCTCCCCTGTGCATACCTGGCCAGTGAGCAGGAAAGGCTGTGGAGGTGGGAAGCAGGAGCCATATTTGAACAGGCTTGGTGTTTAGCTCTGACATCCAGATGAGATATCAGGCCATGGGGGATATGAATCTGGAGTTCAAGAGAGACCTGGCTGGAGAGAGGAACCTGAGAGTCAGCAGCATATGACTGGTGCTTAAAACCATGGGAGTCCTTAGATCCCTGGGGCACAGCCTCCCAGCCCCCCACCCCCCAGAGCCTTTGGGTACAGATGATGCTGTGGGAGCTGGCCATAGATTTTAGCAGTACCCCTGGCCACCTACGGATGCCAGTAACCACCCCTGCTACCATGTGACAATCAAAATATCTCCAAACTTTGCCAAAACTGCTTCCCCAGCATCCACCCCCACCTTGCAACCCAGGGAATAAAAAGATAAAAAATAACTGGGGCCTGAGCCTAGGAGCATGCTGACATTTTACTAAGCTAATTAACCTTCAAGTATAATAATATGCTCTTACCAACTATGACAAGCCCTGTGAAGAATGATGCTTAGTCCTATGAAAGGGAGAAGTGACAGAGCCAGATGTATGTCAGACAGTGGGACAGGCTTCCATGAGGAGCTGGCATTTGAAACCTGAAGCAGGAGGAGGGGTGTTCCTCACAAAGAAACTGAATATACAAAGGTCCTGGGGCAGGGAGGTTTGTCATAGCAAGAGTGAAGGGCAGTGGGATGAGGGGAGTGTGGTAGGCCAGTAGGAAAGAGAAAGGAGAAGTTCGAGGCCCCATTATACAGGATTTGTAAGCCATGTGTAAAGGTCTCTGCTTCAATACAAGAGGTGGTTTGAACAGGATGCAGTATGATCAATGGGGTGCATTTTCAAGATCCTTGAGCACTGTGTGGAGGACTGGGAGGGTAACAAGCAGAAGACTAATGGAGGTTGTACAGAAGTCCTGGAGAGAGATGAGGGTGACGTAGCAAGAGTAAGAAGCATAGCAGTTTTCAGATATGTTCTGGAAGCCGCAGCAACAAGATTTATAGGCAGATTAGATGGGGAAGGTGGCACAAGCAAGTGACTTGGCAGACAGTGGTGACAGAGACACTCCAATACGAGGTGACTGAAGGACTGGAAGAAGGAAGGCTGATGGCAGCCTGTGGTGTGCAGACTGCTGGGGAGTCAACAGCCAAGCAAGCAGTGGGATCTCATGAATCTTGGATGAGAGGGACAAGTGTCACACTGTCAGCACACACACATTTAAAAACATGGGAAGGTGTGTGAAAACAATGAGACAGGAGCTGGGCCCAAACCTGAGTGAGGCAAATTCCAAGAGAAAGAGAGAAGAGCAGGAGTTAGCAAAGGAGGCCAGGAGAAATGGCTAGCCAGTAGGAAGAAATTCAGAAATAGCATGGAAGCCAAGAGAAGGAATTTCAATCAAGGAGTGGCCTGCTGCCGCCTGCCGGGGACTGGCACCTGCCTGTAGATTTGATAACATGGAAGTCCAAAGCCAGAGCATTTTCTGCAGTAGACTGGATTGTTAAGGACATTTTTTATAGTCTCTAACTGTATTCAAGGCCTGATGGGCAGGCAGCAAACCCTGTCAGTGTTGTTTGGTTTGTGAAATGAAGTTAGCAGCAGCGCCTACCTCACAGGTGGTTATGTATGTTAATTGAGTTAAGATGCCTGGTGCAATGTGAGCATCAGCTCTCCATCACTACTATCAACTCTCCTGTTTCCAAAACAATTCTGTCTGAAAGTCATTTGGTGGGGTGCCCAAAGTGGGGGTGCCTGAACCCTAGCCAATGGGCAGAATGTTCCAAGGTGGGGCAAGGAGGGTGTTCTCAGGGGATTGAGGTAGCATGGAGGGGTCCAGCATGCCAAAAATACATCTTCATTGACTGTCAGGTTGAAGTGGGCTCACCATCTAGGCTGCATAAGAGCATATCGTCACATCTGGTGACTAGCTCTGCCTGTGAACTTGATTGTGAGGAAGAGACCAGCTACAAAATAACTAACCTGAATCTTCAGAAGGTCAGGTCATGTCAAGTACAGATTGTGGCACTATTCCAGACTTGAGAGACCAAAGGGAGACAGTTCAATGGCATATGGCTATGAACTATGTTCTTTTCCTGTGAATGGTATTACTGGGACAAGTGGGTAAAACTTGAAATAGGTCTGGGGGCTAGACAACAGGAATATATCAATGTTCATTTCCCAGTTTCAACCTCTGTAACTTGGCTGTCTGGAGGGCAGAAAAGACCTAGCACCTACTCTCAAGGAGCTGAGGAAAAAGATTCATGGTCATGCACTTATAACTATTCTGCACACTTGTGATTGTTGAAAAGAGAAAAAGACCAAATGCTGGCTCACACCTGTAGTCCTCAGCTACTTGGAAGTCTGAGGCAGCTCATCTGAGCTCACGAATTGGAGACGGGGAAGGGGGTGTGAGAGGATTTTAGAGAGAATGAGTGTAAATCCTCTTTGCACAGCATTGAGGCAGAGAGACCCATCCACCTGTTCCAGGAGATACTACTTTGAAGCAAAAAAGATACTGCACTTGGCTTCAGCTAATGCATTCTGAGAAGCTGGGCTCTGGTCAGTCTGGCTTTGGCTTGTCTGCAAAGGCTGAAGGCTGTGGGATCTTCCTGGCAGCAGTCTGGGAGCTACAGGGCCCAGGAGGTAGGGACTAGACACAGGATGACACAGGACCCTGGGAGACCCAAAGCTGATCCGTGTGAGGCCCAGGGAGGTCTCCACTCTCACTAGGTGGAGCCCTGGGGAGCCAGGCCTTGCTTCCTGCTTTCTGCTCTGTATGTGCGACAGCCCCGATTGCAGCAGGGGGCGTGCTGCCCCCTCTGTCTGGATCATGGTAGCGTTGCCTACAGGCACTCTGTCATTCCTGAGACATCTATCTGTATGACATCCCATCCTGCACCCACAACCCTCTCTGCCATGGCTGCTGCCCTCAAAAGAACTTTGGGTACACCCCCTAACTGGGCAATTTGACTAAAGCCACTGACCTACAGCCAGAGAAAGAAGTGTTTTGAAGCTGTGTGTGAGAGACACACTTTCTGACCCCTTTCTGTGAGTTTTTGTGCTCCACTGAATGCTGTGACCCATAAAGAAGTCTTTCCCTAACACAGGAAAATTCTGGAATTGCACAAGCCCTTGAAGAAGACTATAGAACAAACAAAACAAAACAAAACAAGAAAGAATATTACACAAACCACTGTAAGAGAAGCAGGTCTAAAGGTCTAAGATAAGTGAGAGACGAGCAGGGCTTGGTGGCACATATCTGCCATCTCAGCAGAGGCTGAGATGGGGATCATGAGTTCCAGGCCATCCTGGGTAATACAGTGACACTCTGTCTCAAGAAAACAAAATAATTGTATGTGTGCATGAGGACATGAGAAAACACAAAGAGTGTTTTGTGTGTTTGATTGATTGATTGTTTAGTTGGTTTAATTTTGTTGAAACAGTTTCACTCCATAGCCCAGGTGGACCTCAATCTTATGGCAATCCTCCTGCCTTTGTCTTCCAAGTTCTGGCTTCACAGGCATGTGCTGCCACATCTAGCTTTATATTTTGTTTTTTTTTGTTGTGAGTCAGGGTTTCACTTTATAGCCCAGACTGGCCTTGAACTCATGATCCTCCTGCCTCAGTGCCCCCCACCCCAAGTATAGAATTGTGGGTGTATATCACAGAGTTGGCCATGAATTCTTATCTGGATCATCTTGGATTCTCCATGTCTTAGGACCTTTACCTTCTTAGAGTGGTTCTCAGAATCTTAATAGGGACTCAAGGTAGCCCCAACTACATAATGGCCTCCTGACCCACTTGTTTCTTGGGGAGAGCAAGCCACAGTGAATCAGGAACAGGAACGGATAGACCTGAGACCCACAGCTTCCACCATTTTCCATGAAAAGAAGGGTACAGTGACTCAGAAACTACACTGTTTATTAAAATGAAGCTTTTCTTAAGGGTGTCCAGGATACACATGCAGACATTTTAATAAAACAAGAAAGAAAGCCCAAATATAATAACTACTAAGGGGCACAGAGGAAAGGGTGTGGAATGAGATTGGAGTCATCATGGATATTTTTCTGGCAAGCTGATAGGAGATACTTTTATGACAAGCACAAAAACTTAAAACACACCTAGCACGATGGTGTATACCCATAATCCCAGCTACTCAGGAGGCAGAGGCAGGATTACAAATTCAAGCCAGCCTAGGCTACAGAGCAAGACTCTGTTTCAAAAAGAAAATGAAGAGACAGTGTAGCACCAGACTAGAACATTTGTCTGGCACACACTATAAGGCCCTGGGTTCGACCCCAGGACTGCAACAAATCTTAGCATCTTTATCATTCACATTAAAGAAACATGATGTCTTCTTCTCCATCTACACAATTAAAATAGGTAGGTGTCTAGCTGACCAGTTCCTTGTATCTGAGGGTAGAAATATCACCCAATATGGAGACAGAATACAAGCTTCCTCAGGTCTCACAAGGACTGTGATCTGTTCAGCTATCCTGGGTTTTAAGTGGTTTAATTCAGGCTGGCACTGTTGTGCATAGAAGGAAATAAGCCCAGGCAGACTGGGAAGGATAGTCAGGGACCTGCTTAGACCCTGTCTCTAAAACCAAGGCAGGACTGGAGAGATGTCTCAGTAGTTAAGAGCACTGGCTGCTCATGCAGAGGACCCGGGTTCAGTTCCCAACACCCACATGGTGACTAATAATCATCTGTAACTTCAGTTCTCCAGGGGATCCAATGCCCTCTGTCAGCACTGCATGATGTGGGTACACTTACATGCATGCAGGCAAAACACACACATAAAAACCAAAACAATCATAGGCTCCTGCAGAATCTCAAAGACAGATTTTTGTACCTGTATTCATAGTAGCATTATCACAATAGCCAAAAGGTAGAAGCAATTCAGATGTCCATCAATAGATGACTGAGTCAACAAATGGCAAATATAGTGGAGTATTATGCACCCTTATAAAAGAAAGAAATTCATACATGCTATAACACAGAAGAACCTTAAGAACATTGTAATAAGTGAAATAAGCCAGTCACAAAGATCAACTATTATATGATTCCATTACTATGAGGTTCCTAGAGTTGTTGAATTCATAGAGACAAAGAGTAAGGTGGTGGTTATAATGGAGTGATGCAAGAATGAATAAGAAGTTAATAAGTTTAACAAGTACAGAGATTCGGTTTTGTAAGATGAGGTATGCTAGAGAAAGGTGGTGGTGGCAGTGATGGCGGTGGTAGTGGTGGCTGTGGTGACCCAAGAAAGTGCTTTGCAAGTCCACAGAACTGCATATCTAAAGTTACTTTGGATGCCCTCGGGAGGTGGAGGCAGGGGGAACATGAGTACAAGGCCAGCATGGGCTACAGTGTCTCAAAAACAAAAACAAAAAAACAAAACGAAAAAGAAAAGGGTCAAGATGGTACGTTATTTTTCTTTTTAAAAATGTTTTATATGTATGAGTGTTTTGCCTGCATGTATGTAAGTGCACCCAGAACAGGGCATCTGATCCCCTGCAACTGACGTTAAGGACGGTTGTTAGCCATCATGTGGGTGCTGGGAACCAAATCCAGGTCCTTTGCAAGAGCATCCAGTTTCTTAACCATTGAGCCATCTTTCCAACCCATAGAATTGTTTGTTTTTTTTTAATTAGAACAGAGGACCCAGATGTGGTTCCAGCACCATGTGGTGGTTAACAACCATCTGTAACTCCAGTTCCAGGGGCTCTGATCCCTCTTCTGACTTCCATGAGCATTACATGGTATGGGTGCACTTATATACATGCAGACAGTACACTCATATACATAAAAAGAATAAATAAAATATTTAAATAAATAAATTAGTACTTTAAAAGATTTATGTGTGTGGTACCAATGGAGGCCAGAAGAGGGCATTGGAGACCCTGGAGCTGGAGTTACGGCCTACTGTAAGCTGCCTGTGGGGGCTGGAAACCTGGGTCTGCTGAAGAGGAACAAGTGTTCTTAACAGTCAAGCTACCTCTCTAGCCCATTTTTTATTTTGTTTTTAAGCAAAACAGCATAATGAAAGTTCATTTGTTGCCTAATCACAGAGTCAACAAGTCACATTCACAATTCCATGTGATGTGGAAGGCTTCAGAGCAAAGGACCCTCAAAGGGATAGTTGTGTCCATCCCATTGGGGTGGGGGTGTCTGATACAGATATCAAATGCCCAAAGTATAGCCTTTGACCAAACAAGGTGCTCAGAAGGCTCCAAATTCCTGCCTGGTACTCACTGGCTTCCTGAGCTCTGTGGCCTCAGAGGATACCCTTGGATATTGCCAGTGGGGAGAAGCACTGTAGGTGGGGTGCACCCTGTGAGCTGTAGTTAGAAGAGGGCAGGGGATGGGGCAGTATCAAGGTCACTGCTGCAGAGGGGCAAGGTGGATCCAGACTGACACAAAGGAGGTTCCAGAGTTGGGAGGTGAGCACAGTCCTAACTGACAGCTTCTGTTTTCCAAGTGGGAGCTCACTCAGTATCAAGAGCTGAGGGTGGGAGTTTTGAGAACAGAGATGATGTAGAGTTTTCTAGGAGCCATCAAGGCCCTGGGGTTGGGGCTCCTGAACTTTCAGTCACACAGGTCTCCTTGCCAGGTGTGGCCCCCACCTGCTCCCAGCTACAGAACACAGTTGGCCAGTGGTTGTAGCCATCCAGGGCCCCAACCCCAAAATGAGTACAGAAGGCAGCAGGAGGAAGTGTGAGGATGGAAGTGGTGGGCAAGCTTTCCAGGAGCTGAGTAAATTCCTATGTATCCTCCTCCCCCTGTCCATCCTCAGCCCTCTCCTGAGAGTACAGACACCGAGATTCCTGGGTGGAAATGGTGGGAGCCAGGGCATCTGTCCTATGTGATGGGGAAAGCTCAGGCTCTCTTGCCCCTTGCAGAGATTGGTGTGGGCATCACCGGCTTTGGCGTCTTCTTCATCCTCTTTGGGATACTCCTGTACTTTGACTCGGTGCTCCTGGCTTTTGGAAATGTGAGTCCCCCATGCTGGGTACCTCTCCTGCCCCAACCTTCTTGAGGACTCTTTGGCCAGGAGGGTCAGCACCATGTTCATTCAGATCATGCCTATCCAGGGTGGATGAGGGATCCAGGGGGTAGACAGCAGGGCCTTTGTACATAAATAACCTGAGACCTGGATTCTTACAACAAGCTCTGAGTGAGGCCCTGGGGGCTCCATTATGAATTAGACCTTTGTCCCCACCATTGAATCCCTGAATCCAGTGACTGAGGAGGGAAAATCAGAGTAAGATAACACTTCACAATGAAACAAGGGGCTAAGAAGAAAGGGAGGACCAAAGGACTTTGGGAAGGAAATCGGGGAGCTGTAAAACTCTCACAAGTGGATGGAACAGCCGAAGACATGGGGAAGGTGGCAGTGAGGGTTATGGAACATACTAGAAGAAAACCAGAGAGTTTAATTTACTGGGAGCCTGGGCCCTCATAAAGGAATCATTAAGAACCACGCTGAAGGCTGTGGCAGGGCCACATAGTGGAACTCCTGCAGGGTCTGTGGGATTCTGGGCATAACTCCCTAACTTCTGTAGACCCCGGTCTTCGCCTCTGAAAACGCGAGGATCCCATTCCACCGCCCACCTCCCTGGGAGTCTTAAATAAGGAAGAACTTGGAGCTGAGGAATTGAGTGGGAAATGAAAGGCCTTCAATTTCTCTCCCAGCTCTGGGATTCTGCGTCACTGCTGGGTCACCCCACTGATAGGATCCCGAAGAGTGAACAGTCCTGCACTGGTCCAGGCCTGAGCCCTTGAACCCTTGGGGGGGTTGGGACAGAGCTTGTACTCACTGTCCTGCCTTCTTCCCGACCCACAGCTGCTGTTCCTGACTGGTCTCTCCTTCATCATCGGCCTGAAGAGGACATTTTCCTTCTTCTTCCAGAGGCATAAGCTCAAAGGAACCAGCTTCTTCTTAGGGGGTGTGGCCATCGTACTCCTGCGCTGGCCGCTGTTGGGTATGCTCCTGGAGGCCTATGGATTCATCAGCCTTTTCAAGTGAGTGCCATCCTTGTCTCCCTCAGTACACTGAGGCTCAGGGTGAAATGACTTTGTCAAGATTCACCCATGCAGGACACTGGGGATTCACTTCCCAGTCTGGCTGCCTACAAGCTCTGTGAAGGATCACACACTTCCAGTCAGGCCTGGCCAGTTTGAAAGGCAAAGGCAGCTGGGGCAGGGAGATGCAAAAGGCCATGCCAACCCAAGCATAGCCTCCAGTCAACATCCATGCCCAGGCCCCAGCAACTGGAGTGGGTGCTCCCTACCCCATCTAGGGAGAAGAACACATCAGGTCATAATAATAATAATCAGGAGACCAAGTCACAAAAATGCATGTCTCCTAAGCTTGGCTTTATGTGAAGTCCTATGACATAGGTACAAATACTGCTAATCACATTTGACAGCTGCACTGGTTCAGAGAAGTGAGAGACGTGCACGGTGCCAGTAAGTGGTAGGGCCAAGATGTGATTGCAAAACACCCAGCCCTAGACCTTCCTTAACTATTTCATTCTCTTAGTAGAACCTGCCTGCCCCCTTGGCCCAAGTACTGCTCTCCAGGGAGCCGGAACTTCAGTCTTTAAGTGGGGGGATATCAGTTAGTCTTGTCATGTAGTGTGCCATAACTGACTCTTTTCCTCCCCTCTGTTTCTAGGGGCTTTTTCCCTATGGCCTTTGGCTTCCTGGGAACTGCAGCTAACATCCCCTTCCTGAGCATGGTGAGTAGATGAAGCTTGGGACTTGGCAATGGGATTTGGGGGAGGCACGTGGTTAAAGGGCTGCCTCAGGTGCTCTCCTTTGAGTTCCCCCCACCCCGGATTCACTATCTTTTCCTTTCTGTTCCTTCTCCATTGGTAGACACAGAAGAAGTGAGGCCCCGCTAAGTAGGTGTGCCTAACTAATGTGTGGGTATAGATGGAGACAGCCATTAACAGCTCCCCAGTCAAAGAAATGGCAGTTCTAAGTGACTCACCCATAAAGTGTCTGAGACTTCTGGACACTTGGTTAAATCTGGGCCACAGGTATAGATAAAATATGTGATGGCCAGTAACAGCAAGAAAATATGTGATAGCCAGTGACAGCAAGAAAAGTGGTGGCAGAGTCTGTCCTGTCCCCACCCCATCCCTGAAGCACCTGACAGAAGCACAATGCGATGCCTGGGATGGGCCCAGAGGCCAGCGCCTGCCAGCTGAGCATGCCCTGCCACCCCCTCCACACATATGCAGCATGACTCCCAGCTCCCAAGGCCAGCTCAGTAATAGCCTGGACATTGAGTCTGCTCTCTACTCTTTGTCTGGAATAATGATTCTTGGCTCCCACAGCTGTCCCAGAGGCTTCAAGGCACCAGCTCAATGGTCTGAACTGCCAAGATGAGTTGCTTGAACTTGGATTGTTGTTGGAGAAGATGGAACGGGAATTGGTGCCACCTTCATGCAACAACTCCCCTCACCCCACCCCCACCCCAGCACTGACTTCACTTTCCATTACACTTGGGCCTCTCCAAGGATAGAGGGAGCTGAGTGACTGACCTCAAGCCCTCAAGTCTTCGGAAGAGGTGGCCAGGAGCAAAGATCCTGGCCCTGAGATCTGACTGGGGCTGGCAGCAACATTCCCAACCTAGATTTATGCGAGCAAGTGAAGATTAAACTCCCAAGTTGTGTGTCTGAAACTCGAAGTTGGTGTCTCCAGCCCAGAAAATCTACTCCAGCCTTAGGGAGAGCCTGCAGCACCCCTACCATTCCACAAGGTGTAACTAAGAGTCAGGCCATGACTTCGCTATAATTTCTATGTTGGTATTTAGCAGTCATAAGAGAGTGATAGTATGTATCTAACCTCAGTTAGACAAACCACGGGGACTAACTCCAGGTAGCATCAGGAAGGGTGTTTCAACCATGAGGAGACTGTTTTCTACCCAAGGGTGAACAGTGTCCTTGCCTTCAGAGAGCCCAGCCTGACAGAGGAGCTGGTCCCTGTCCTAGGGAGCTCCTCATCCCATGGTAAAAAGAGTGGTTTTTGTTTTCCGTTTTTCTGTGACACTGTGTTAGCCTGGCCTGAAACCCAGAATCATTCTGCTTCATACCTCCTGAATACCGGGATTATAGGTATGATCCACAACACTGCCTTAAAAGGAGTTCTTACTGACTGAAGAAAGTCCAGCTGGGTGTGGTGGCATGTGCTCTTAATCCCAGCACTTAGGAGGGACATCCAACCAAGGTCCTTTCCTGTATGTATCTAGCAAAGGAATGGGAGGGTACAGACAGGAGGTCTGCCCCTGCCCTTAAGGCACCGAGCACACCTCCCACTCCACATCTGCGTGAGGAAGGGCCACAGTGTTCAATGCCAGCTGGGGAACAGCAAGTACAAAATCGGTACTTCCTCCCCTGCCTTCCTCCCTCCCTTCCTTTCGTGTTACTTTTTTGCTCTTTTGAGACAAGATCTCATACTTTAGGCAAGCCTGACCTGGAACTCTCTATGAAGCCCAGACTGGCCTCATATTTGCCATCTTTCTGCCTCAACCACCTGGCAGTAGTATTATGAGTGTGGGCCATCATAGCTTTATTCTCCTTTCTTAAAGCCAGCTGATTACATAACTGTCCAGCACATCTGACCATGTCAAAATCCTGTGCCAAGCAAGTGTTCATTAATCGAGGAAAGAAGGAGACCCACACTCCCAACTCCCAGTTGCAATTCACAACCCAGGAGCCTTCTCTGGTCTGGGCCAATATGACCTGACTTTCTCTCAGTGGGCAGCATGTGAGCAGTGAGGAGTCTCAGGGTCACACTGCTCTTACTCTCCTCCTCCAGCATGCGTCATCAGTTCACTTCAGGGGTGTGTGTGTGTGTGTGTGTGTGTGTGTGTGTGTGTGTGTGTATCTTGGCAGAGAAGGGCAAGACATTTCACACATACACACTCCTCAAGCACTCTCTCATTGTTTGGGGGCAGAATGTGTCTCCAAATGAGAGAGAGGGGGTGGGAAGAAGGTGATAAGGATGGAAGAATTAGTGAGATTGAGAGTAGGCTTGGATGGCTTCTGGGGGCGAAGAAGAGGCTGGCTCCAGACAAGAGAGCCAGGAGGCGGCAGTCAGCCACAGGACGCAAAGCCCTTTGAGGAGGGTCTGGGGTGGGAGCAGAGGTGGGATTATGCCTGAAGACGTCACCCAGTGTTCATAAAAGGGGCTGTGATCAGAGAGCCAGAGAAAGCGAGCTCAGGAGCCAGCAGACTCCCTGAAGGTGTTCACCCACCCAGGGAGCTCCTCTCCCTCCAGTCCTCCAGTCAGGACCCAGCAAAGGTAAGTACGGTGTATATACAACTTGGAGGAGGGGTTGCCCTTCCCCTGGAAGGATTTTGGGGAGCAGGCCTTCAACTCAAGGCTGATTGAAACATCAGGTAAGCAGAAGGTGAGAGGGCACTGATCACTCCTGAGTGTCAGGTTGGCCAAATTATCCTGGGATGTCTGGGCAAATACATGAGCTTGCATTTTGTGTGCAATGCCAGGACTCTGGGCATCCCAAAAGCCTACTCCTGCTGTGAAGGGAATCAATGCAGTGAAGAAACCCAATCTGTGGATGAGATTCAAAGCCACAGTAGTTATTTTAGGGAGCTGGGGACCCCTCAGAGCTCATGGGCTCACCAGGGTACCTCTAAACTATTCCCCCAATGAAAACCTAATCTCATCCACACGATGCTAGTTAAGAACTGGGGGCCACCTGAGAAGAAGTCACCCCATTTCAAAATCTTTCTGACCATGCCTACAATTTCTCTGTTGTTTACTATATCTAAAACTCCCTAGGGAGAGAGAAACCACCAAACCTGATCAGATACTCCTGGTCCCTTGGAGACAAAAGTGGGGTTTTCCCCCAAACAATTCAATTTTACAACAAGTATCAAGTAAGGAGTGTATGGCATATGTGTGTGTGGTACGTGCAGAATGTGTGAGATATTTATCTGGGGTATTGTGCTGTCTGTGTGATACATGTGTATACGTATGTGTGTTGTATATGTGGCACACAAGTGCCACAGTATATACATATAGAGGTCAGAGGACAACTTATGGGAGTTGATTATCTCCTTCTACCATGTGGGTTCAGGGATCAAACTCAGATCACCAGGCTTGGTGGCAGGCACCTTTATTCAATGAGACATCTTGCTGGCCCCTGTTGTGTCATTATATGTATGTATGTATGTATGTATGTATGTATGTATGTATGTGGTATATGTGTGGTATGTATATATATACATGTGGGGTGAGGGTGAGCTAGAGGCAGGCAGATTTCTCCCATGGTGCCCATGAGAAAAGCACTGTCCGTGATGGGACAGAGGTACTACAGGGACAGAGGCAGAAAATGGGATCACCAAACTCCAACCATATAGCCTCCCTTCCCTTTCCTCACCACCCTGCTCTGCTCAGAGCAGCCAGGAGGCTCCATGTTCAGTGCACACAGATATACTCCTGCCTTCCTCAGACCACTCTGGGATGCAGCCTGGCACAGCTTTCACTCCAGGAGAAACTCCATCCTTATATCCAGCAGCCCCCACACCCACCCCTGCCTGCTGTTCCAGCACCCTGGCATCACAGCCCAGGAAGAGCCCCTGGGGGGAGCACACCTTCTGCAAACCCTCTTCATCTGGCACACTCATGTCAGGTGCCACCACATGCCTGATCCCTCCAGGTTGGGCTTCCCAGCTCCTATCACCTGGGTACTTGCCTGTCCAGTGTTATTTTGAAATGATTTGCTTATAAGCTACCCATGAGTCAACTTCTTACAGTACATTTGAAATCAGGAGGGGGATACCGTGTCGACAACTGCAACACCCCAGCACCTAACAGCACCAGCACATAGGTGGTTCCCAGAGATGACTTCTAAACTTCCCTGGCCCTGGTGGCCAAGGCTCTGTCCTTGTCCTCTACTCCATGTCCCATTCAGGCCTTAAAGCAGCTCAGAAAGTGTCTGGCTTTCAGGGTCTCATAGAATCACAGACTACAAGGACTAGTAGCTATCTAAGCAGGCAGCTGGTGGCCAGGCTGACCCACAGTGCCTGGAGATGGGAGTGGCTGCTTATGTCTCATGTATGAGGGCAGAGGTGGAGCACCTCAAGACAAGATTCTTGCCTGCACACCACATGTGAGTCTGGCAGCTGGGGAGGTCATGGGGTGGGGGACAGAGTAGAGGGATGTATAGAGTTGGTCACCATGATATTCCCCCCCAACCCCTTGGACAGAAGCCCCAGGTTCCATATGCAGTACCTCCTGCCTCCTCAGCACTTTGTCCTTAATCACAGTTGTTGGACAGTTAAGGAATTGGGTTTCTATTATAGCAGAAGGAAACGGAGCAGGATTTGGGATGGCCTGTACTATAGGAGACAGCAGAGCACAGAAAGCCATGCATTTGTGCAGAGCCCAGAATGAAGGACTTAGTCTCAGGCTCCTAAGGGAGCGTTTGAACCTCAGAGCCGCCATGCCCTGAAGCCCTTGCCCAGCTCCCCCTCCCTACTCATTCCCATGCCTGGCCTCTCACCCTCATCATTCCTCTTCAGCAAAACTGTGACCCAGAACCCACCATTCTGCAACCTGAGCATCATGCCCTTTCCACCAACAGATCCTTCTTTCCTTCCTTCCTTCCTTCCTTCCTTCCTTCCTTCCTTCCTTCCTTCCTTCCTTCTTTCCTTCCCTCCTTCCTTCCTTCCTTCTTCCCTCCTTCCTTTCTTCTTCATTCCTTCCTCCTCCTTTCTTTCTTTCCTTCCTTCCCTTTCTGGCTCTATCTCCTCCAGAAGGCTGTCCTGTGTGAATCATCTCGACCCCTCCACAGGGCACCTGCAAGCACAGGCTTTCTCCTCTCCTGCAGGCTCTCCCTTTACCCTCGGTTCTCATGCAGCACAAACCAGGACCCAGTCCTTATTGCCCCTCTCTGTCTCAACCTCAGGGCACTTCTCAGACCTGCCTCTTCCTGCCAGAATGAACCTGTTTTCTTCTTGGCAGCTGCTCTTTTTCCTCTGTGCCACCAACTTTGAGGAGCCATTGGCCAAAATGGCACCCGTGGAGAACCCTGGTCCTACAGGTATGCACTGTTTGGGAAAGGGGGTGGGGAGAGGCAAGTCACTGCACCTGACACTGTATTTTCCAGACTGTGGCTGGGACACAGATAGGGCTAACACTGTGCTTGATAGACACCTAAGGCTGATACATGGGCAGTTCATGTGCGGAGGGAGGCAACCCCCTGCAGTGAGCACCAGCCTCTCACCTGGGTTCCAGGGCTTATTAACCATCAAGCTCCTTCATGATTTTGCCATATTCTGTGCTCTGTTCTACAACAATCACTTCTGTATAGATGCTTGGAATGAACTTAAATACAAGTTACTTTTTAAAAAATATTTTATTTATGTTGGGTGTGGTGTCATATGCCTTTAATCCCAGCACTTGGGAGGCAGAGGCAGGCAGATCTCTGTGAATTCAAGGCCAGCCTGGTCCATATAGTGAGTTCCAGGCCAGCTGGGGCTACAGGGAGATCCTGTCTCAAAAAGACCAAAAAACTTTTTTTTTTTGGTTATTTTATGAGTGTATTGCCCACATGTATGTAAGTGCACCCATGTTGTGCAATGCCCTCAGAGGTCAGAAGAGGACATCAGATTCTCTGGAACTGGAGTTATGGACAGTTGTTAGTTGCCATGTGGGTGCTGGGAATGTCCTCTGCAAGAGCAGTCAGTCTCTCCAGTCCTGCAAGTTACTTTTATCTGTAACCTTAGATCCCTTATAGGAGATTTGAAGAAAGAACTCAAGGACATGCCTTAATGTCTGTCAGCCTTGTAAGTTCATTGAGGAACTGATGACTGGGGAAACTGAGGCCCCAAACAGCAGAAACTTTCCCAAAGACACACAGCCAAATATTGCAGAATTCCAACAGGTGCCAGGGTACCTTGAGAGCATGTGAGCAACCTGAGCTACAGCAGTGCTTGCCAGTAAGTCCGAGGCATGGGCTTGAACGCGTCTTTGTGGTCAGCTTTCTGGGCATGCTAGAACTGGTTGCTCAGCCTCTTTGGACCTCGGTCCCTAGGCGTGGAACGCAGGGCACATACTGCACATTTGACATTGTACGTGCCCGAAGCAGGGGAAATAGGGCCCCAGACATCAATAATGCCAGCTTTCCAGGGCAAGGACTAATCCCCCCACTGCCCTGGGATGCTGGCTATTGGCTCTTTCTGGCAAAAAGCCATAGGGGAGGGGGTCATCAGTGTTCTGAGCTTTGTGTGTGAAACTGAGATCTCCCCTCCCGTCTCAGTGGCCCAGGGAGAGGCCTCTTAGACAATTATTATTGACCTTGGACCATGGCCATACCCACGTCTCAAGTGTGCCAAGGCACTGAGGAGCCAGGCTCAATGCCATCTTCCACCCCAACACACCCACTCACACCAGGCCTCATTTCCACTAATCTCTATCCGTAATTGGCTGGGCTTATTGTCTTCTCAGAGCTACTTGTCCTGTTTTACTGCCAAAAAGTAGAGAGAATTTAATGAGCCTTGTCTGTGAAGTGCTTTCAGAGTTAGCCTTGTTGGTCCCAGCAGGAAGGGGAGACACCACACCTGGTTGGGGGAGAGGAGCCTGTGGGCAACTCAGATAATGGCTGGTCTTCACTGACTTCATACCGCTTTTTAGAGGCTGCAATTGTCCTCAGAGACCAGGGTTGGATCACAGGTGCTTGGGCACAATGGCCTTGGCTCTTTCTTGTTTTCTGTGATTTCAAGTTTTTCCTTAGCTTTTATTTAAGGAGCATGTATCAAGGCCCTACTATGTACAGAGTATATAGTACAGAGTACTGTTTCAAGCATTCTGAGATGAGGAAATGGAGGAGACAGCCCCCAAGGGGCTCCAGGCCCAATGGAGCTACAGACGCAGATAGTGAGCCCAGAAAAGACAGAGCACAGTGTCCCCTGCATATTTAGGTGGTTGTTGTTGTTGTTGTTGTTTTTAATTTTCAAACTCTGCTTCCTAAAAGGAAATAGTTTATTAAAGTTATTTATGAGAACTCTGGCAAGCACTCAAAGCACAGCTGTTGAAGGAGGGAGGAACAAACAGCCTGACCACCCGAGCCAAGCAGCATACTGGCTCGGCACTGAGCTCAGCGCTGATCTGACGTCAGGGGACCAGAGCAGGCTCCGCGTTCTGAGCTCTGAGAGGACTCCAAAGGCAGCCCTGTTGCCCCGGACTCACCTACCTGTGCTCTCTATCCTAGGCCAGCGGCCGGGACCGTTGCAACTCTCCGAGCACGGCTTGCGGTGTGCAGAGAGGAAGCCCGGGGCCGCGGGGCCACGCCCTCGGGGGACCTCGCCTTGCCCACTTGTCGAGAGCTCCGCCGGGCTCCAGCGACCCGGCCTGTGCCCAGCCCGCAGCCGTCTGATCCCTGAGCCTCGGGGCACCGTCCTGGTGCAGCGCGAGAAGGACCTGTCCTCCTACAACTGGAACTCGTTTGGCCTGCGCTATGGCAGGCGGCAGGCTACACGTGTGGCGCGGGGCTGAGGGCAGGGCGGCTGGTGGACTCCAGCCGGAGACCAGCATCTGAGGCCGCACCGGATGCGGGGCGAGGCTGGACAGGCGTAATAAAGCGATCTGGCCCAGGGCAGTAAAGCAATTCTGCCTTCTCTCTGCCGAGTGATTAGTGGCTGACTTTTGCTAGTAGTGCGGATGAGGTCGGTTCCCCTCTCTCAGTTCCGTCTTGGCTGGTTTTAATATGTCTCTGGTGTCAAAGTCAATATTTCTCAAACTAGTCATTGAGGAAGACTGGCTGATCTCCAGTCTGTTGCAGCTCAGTACTTAAAAAAATATAAAATAAGAACCAGGTGTGGTAGCGCAGGCCTTTAATTCCAGCACTGGGGAGGCAGAAACAGGTAGATTTCTGAGTTCAAGGCCAGCTTGGAGAGATGGCTCAGTAGTTAAGAGTAGTGTTGCTCTTCCAGAGACCAAAGTTCTGTTCCCAACTCACAACTGCCTGTTAACTCCAGCTCCAGGGGATCCATCACCCTCTTCTGGCTTCTGTGGGCACTGTACACGTGTGCACATACCTACAAAGGTGCATCCAGGTACACACACACACATACACATGTCACATAATTAAAACTAAAACCTAAAGTGGGGCTGGAGAGATGGCTCGACAGTTAAGAGCACTGGCTATTCTTGCACAAGACCCAGGCTTGAATTCCAGCACCCACATGGTGGCTAACAACATCCATAACTCCAGTTCCAGGGGATCTGACACCCTCTTCTGTCCTCCAAGAGCACTGCACAACATGGGTGCACTTACATACATGCAGGCAATACAGTCATTCACATAAAATAAAAATAAATTTTAAAAAATCTAAAGTAGAGCCCAAATTGGATGCCACTTGGATGTTTGAGCAACATCAAATTTCTGTAAAATGTTCCCAAGCAGAACTTCTAGATCTGAGACTCCCTCCCAGAAAATAGGTACCACCTTGCAGCACACTGAGAGGCAATGGAATGGAGCACAAATCCACTAAGTTCCTTCCCTTCAGTTATCAGCTACAAGCCAGTTGGACAGCATGATCTGGAAGATGGTGCCAATCATTGCCCCGTTCACAAGGACAAACATCACCCGAGCCCACTGCCAGGCCTCTGCTTGGCTGCCTGGCCCCCAGGCATAGAGATGCAAGGGACAGCCACAGCACAGGGCCACTCATCTCCCCCAGGGAAGCCCATCATGCTCCAGTGCTTCTTACTATCACTGCTCTTTACGCTGTAACCACCCAGACCATGGGCAGGTCTTAGTCCCATCTTCATTTATGAAGTCCAGAAAGATAAACCACTCGCTGGAGGATACAGCCAACAACAGTGAGCGTAACAGCCCCTCACTCCATAGTCACAGCTGCACTGTCATGCATTCCTGAAGACAACAGTCTTCCGACTTGAGTCAGCCTTCTGTGCGTACTCTTGGGGGTTCAGTAGCTGGGGAGGAGAAATTTTGGTAGAAAAAAGTAGAGTTTGTCATTAGGAAATCCACCCTCCTGCCCACAAGATGCCTCAGCCTGCCTTGACGGCCCCAAGGCTCCCTATCCTGCTTGGTCTAGGATGGAAATATTCCTCCCCAGGGTCTATAGGACCCCCTTACCCCCATGATGTGAAGCACCACAGTGTTCTACCCATCACAGAAACCAGGACTCCACAGGATAGAGGGGATGGAAGCAGGGCTGTGTTGCTATGGCAGCACATTAAGCTGCCACGGGAACATAACAATCTGCCCCCACCTCCCTCCACCTTTATCCTTGAAACTGCTCTCCAGGATCTGCTGTGAGCTCATGTCTGTAGCATGCTGTGCCAGCAGTGTGGGTATTAGGAAATGCACCCCAGCAGTACGGGTGTGTCTGTCTCTGAACCTCTTGGAGAGGAGTCATAAATTCAATACCTGTTCTGATGAGTGTTTTCTTCTCCCAACCCCTAGAACCAATCCTTTTTCTGATGAAGCCGTATCTGAACTTTGCTATCAGCCTAATTTTTATGAAACTCCCTGTGGCCCCTACTACCGGTTCCACACAGCCTTATTGAGGCAGAGGAGCAGAAGGGAGGATTGCCACTTTAGGGGCAGGGCAGTGCTATGTGTTCTCTGATATAAGAAGTAGGCCTACCTATGTGGAAGAGGGGTAGATGTGAGAAACCACATGCCTACACATTTGCATGCACCTATGTGACCTTGAGTGTGGCCACGCAGTCACTTCAGTGATTTACTTAACATCTCTCCGGTATAGTCCCGCAACTATCCCTTCAACAAGACGCATCACAAGATGGTAAAGAGTAGTACTCCTTTTGAGCCATCTGCACCTGTGGGCTATGTAGCCCCTTAAAAGTCAACAGAGGAGCAAGAATGGTATAAACCTTATATTAGCTACTTTTCTTATTGTTGTGGCCAAATACCTGACAAAAAGCAACTTAAGGGAGGAAGGGTTTATTTTGGCTCACTGTTTGAGAAGATTCAGTCCTTCGAGGTGGGGAAGGCTTGGTGCCAAATGCATGAAGCACTAGTCACACTATCTAGGGTGAGCAGAGAAAAATGAATGCTGGTCTCAGTTCATGGTCTCCCTTTCATTCAGTCCAGGGCCCCAGGCCATGGAATGGTGCTGCCCACATTCACTTCTCAGTTGAAACTCTCTGGAAATGTCCTTGGAGAAACTGGAAGTATGTTTCCATGGTGATTCTAAATCCAGTCAGGTTGACAACAAAGACTAATCATCACAAGCCCCAAGAACAGGGAGAAGGATCAAGAAGGGAAAACCACACATAGATTTAAAAATAAGAATAAAGCCAGGCGTGGTGGCACACACCTTTAATCACAGCACTTGGGAGGCAGAGGCAGGTGGACTCTGGGAATTTAAGGCCAACCTTGTCTACATAGTGAGTTCTAGGCCAGCTGGGGCTCCTGGAAGATCCTCTCTCAAAAAGAAGTTTTATTTAAAAAAAAAAATAATAATAATAATAATAATGGCAGATGAGATGGGCCTGGAAGTAAGGCACCTGTTGCCAAACCTAATCCTGAGTTCCATCCCTGGGAACCACATGGTAGATGGTAAAAACTAATTCCTGCAAGCTGTCCCTGACCTCCACACACTGGCTGTCAGGTTCACACCAACTCCCCACCCCACTCCCACATAAAAGTAAATAAATGTAATAGAAAAATTAAAAAGAAGGGAAATAATGCTGAGATTTTGAATCTGGAGATGACATAGAGTGGGGACTTGGCAGTTGAAAGGAAGCTGCAACGACTAAGCCAGCAAGAGCCTCCGACTTGTACATAGGACCACAATTCTGAATGGGAAATGTTAGATAAGGTTGAAGTCTGAACCCAGAACAAGAGGACTGGCTGAAAATCCATATGGGATGGGTCGCTGGACCCCCGGGTGGTGTGTGTGGGCACCCTGGGGTCTCCACACACCTGGCTAGTCCCGGCGTGAGTCTGGCCGCAAGTGGGGAGCGCGCCTGGGCTCCCAGGCGCACTCACTCTGGATGTGGCCCAGGGTCAGGTGTGCGTGCACTCTCCCACCGTGGTTCTGGTCCCGCTGGCTAGCCGCTGGCGGGCCTGGCCGTCCGTGCCTCTCTGATGCTGACTTCTCTGATGCTGGCTGTAGCTGATGGCTACACACTTCTCTGGAGCGGAGAGCTTCCTCTGCTACTAGATTATTATCTAGTCGGAATCCCGCCTCTATTACACCCTTGTACCCTTCCTCAGGATTGCGGAGTTTCTGGCCAGTGAACTCCACAGGGAAGAGGCACTTAGGCGGTGAAAGCTGGGGTATCCGTGGGCCAATAACGGAGGAATAGCGCCCCCCGGGGAGACTGGATCACAGGATTTAGTGTTACAGCTCAAGACAAGTGACTCAGCTCAGATCTCAGTGATTCAGCTCCAGCTCCAAGTCTAAGTGATCCAGCTCCGAGTCTAAGTGAGGTGATCCAGCTCCAAGTCTGAGTGAGGTGATCCAGCTCCGAGTCTGAGTGAAGTGATCCAGCTCTGAGTCTGAGTGAGGTGATCCAGCTCCAACTTTATTGGGGTAAAACTAGGACTATTTATAGTGTAGAGACAGTAGAAGAAGTCTTAGCTGATTGGTACTTTTAGGATGCCTCATTTACATAGGGCGGTGGGCTTCTATCAGGCTATCAGACAACGCCTGATTAAAACCTGGTAACTCCTGTGCCAGAGGGCATGTATTTGTGGCGAGCATTGTAAAAGAAGAGTCAGGGAGGATGCCAGGAAGGCACTCTGCTATGAAGGAATCTGCAGCACATGGTTTCCGAGCTCGTGAGCTATCCGGATGTGAAGAGACTTCTACTTGCATAACAGAGAACCCCAAGAAATCCACACACAGCTGTTAGAGTCCCTAGCCAGCCTTTCCTGCTAACTATCTACCCTACCAGGAAGAGGCTAAAAGCTTCCTCTCTTGAGGACTCCAGAGAAGAAGGAAGATGCCCCAGTCCAGGCAAAAATAGAGTCAAGGCAGAGATAGAATGGATGCACAGGGAGGAGCCCCCTCTCTCTCTGCTCTGGGAACCCAAGGAGGCAGCAAGATTTATACCCTTGACAAAATTTATACCAAGTCCTAGGGAAAGGAACTTCAGATATTGGACAGTAACTCAGGAGAAAGCAAGCACAGAACCCTATGGTAGGAGCTCCTCCCTGTGAGCTATGCTAGTGCAGTTTCTAGGCCCCTCCACCTGCCTTCCTCTCAGTGGTGAACATAGAGGCAAGGAGGCACAGGAGACCCATGAAAGCCTGCAGCTTGGAAGAGGAGACCAAAGCAAACAGAAAATAGTGTAGATTGTCTGGAAAATATTTTTAAGCGTAGTTGAAACATGAAAGTTACCATTTGAACTATTTTTTAAATTTTTATTTATTATTTTTATTTTATGTGTATGAGTGTACTGCTTGCATGTAGGTAAGTACATCCATGTCATGCAGTGTCTGAGGAGGTCAGGTCCCCTAGAACTGGTGTTACAGACAGTCATTAGCTGCATGTGAGTTCTGGGAATCAAACCCAGGTACTCTGCAAGAACAGCCATTGCGTTCACCTGCCGAGGAAACTCTCCAGCCCCAAATCTGAACTATTTTTAAGTGGGTCACTCAGTGATATTAAGTATATTCACAT